TGGGTGGGGGCAGCTCCGGCCAAGGAGGGGCTGGCTGGGGCTCCTGGAGGCTCCCAAAGGAAAGGCCTGGTTGGGCAGGGCCCCCCCACATTCAGCCCCGCCGCCCCCCAGGCCACGCACCTCCAGAACTGGTCTCCGCTGAAGAGCAGGACCCTCCCCTTCGTCCGAATCAGGCTCCCCACAATCTTGCGCACGTCTCTCGCGATGCCCAGCTTGTCCAGGCTCCGAGGGCCGACCAGGCGTGGCCCCTGGGACACCCAGAAGCGCTGGCCTGCAGAGGAAAGGGTGGGAGGGTGGGTGGCTGAGCAGGGGCCCCTCCGCAGGGAGAGAGGCAGGGGGCCTCCTGAGGGTCCCTTGGGTGGGGAGGGGGCCTCACCTGAGAAGAAGAAGCGCTTCTTGGTCAGAGGGTCCTGGAAAGCCGCGTCAATCACATCCGGGAGGGCCGGCCAGGTGCTCTGGATGCGCAGGGGGCCCTCCAGGGGGCCGGCCCCAGTGCCCGACATGCGCCAGTATTGCCTGAGCAGGAAAGGCAGCTCAGCCTGGGCCCTCCGTGGGCACAGAGAGACCCCCGCCCCCAGCTCCGCCCGGCCCCTCCTGCCTCGCCTCTCACCCGTCCTTGAAGAAGTGCAGCACCTTCTGGATCTCGCCCACCCCGTCGAAGCCCCCCAGGCGGCAGGCGCTGCTCCGGCCGTCCCCAGCAGGGGTCTCGGTCACGGAAGAGCCATCGTCGTCCACGGTGGAGGAGTCCCCAGATTCGGTGGGGTCCTGGGGAGGGGGGCTGGGCGGCGTGGGCTGAGGGCCTGATCCTCGACCTAGTGGGGGGGGCAGCACAAGCATCAGAGGCACAGAGTTCCCCTCCCCTGGTGCGGAAGCAGCTCAAGAGTGGAGCTCCTTTGATTGTGGGGACTGCGGTGCTTTGCAGGGGTGGGCTAGAGGACCTCCGGGGGTCCTTCCACATCATGCTAAAGTAATTTGGGCCTCCTGTTTTTCCTGGAAACGGCTTCCAGACCAAGGTCACTCAGGACAC